GCCTAAGGCACTTGACTGCTCACCAGAAGGCTGGCAGTTCAAACCCACCAGCCACTCCTCGGAAGGAAGATGGGGCAATCTATTTCTGTAGTGATACTGCCTTGGAAACCCAAGGAGGGGTCGCTATGAGTCGGAGCCGACTTGACAGCACACAACAACAACAACAAAGACTTCCAAATATACTAAAGCATCTTAAACATCCTAATACAGGACATAATAATAAAAGTAACTACATATGATATTGTTTTGAAGAGAGAGAATCTGTGTGCGTGTAGGTATACAGTACTATTTAAAAAATTACGGTTTTTAAAGCAGTTTAGGTAGGAAAAACAAAGAAAAGTAAATCATAATTAAAGGTTAACACTCTCATTTCATTGATGTCTTGCATATGGGAAGATGCATTCATGAGGTAAAATGATGATATTAATAATTGAATGATGCAGAAGAGGATAATGGAGAGATGATTACTGTTGAAGATGATAGGTCTTGTGTTAGGATAGACCTGGTGCTAGAGAGTCAGGGTTTGATTCTGCTGCTGCTGAGAGGGTGTTTACTATAGGAATCAACTTCTTGAATTGGGCATGAAGGAAGGTTTGTACACAGTTTTTCTTTTTCGTGTCTTTTCGTCTTCATGTCTGGTATAAATGGCTTTATACCAGCTGAGGCCCTCATTAACTATGTGCTAAACTTTGGAGAACCTCTCTACATTGGGGTCTTGCTCCTCTAACTTTGCCATCTCTGCTCACTGAGACAAAATGCTTCCAGTAACTCTCATCAAAAACTTTTTCTCCATCTGGAGTTTTTAGGTCCCCTTCTTCCTCAAATGCTATCACCTACTGTTCTAGTTCCATAAGGTCTTCAATGGTTCTTCGGCATGGAGTTCAATAACTCTACAACATCATTTGCACTGATGTCTAACTGTAGTTGATTACCAGTATCAACCACACCTTGCCCTTACAAGGGTAAATAAGAGGGATATTTAAGCTGGTTACAAATTTACACATTTAGCATAGTGTTAATGCAGTGTGATCCACTTAAAAAGGTGGACAGTGTTCTCCTTCCTCAAGCCCATAAACTGCTGAAGCTGCACAATGTTTTCATGAGCGTCACAAAGTAGTACATGGATTCGTTATTACTAACCATTGTATTTAACTCAAATTTTTAATGCAGTAGGCTTTATGGAAGTTCATTCTTAAGTATAAGTTGTCCATTAAGTCAGGTGTTTTTAACCCAGGGCCTTACTGTATTAGAAAAATTTTAGATAACTTGAATAGGATCTCTAGTGGTGTAGTGCCTAAGGTATTTGACTGTTAACCAGAAGGCTGGGGGTTCAAACCCACCAGCCACTCCTTGGAAGGAAGACTGAGTAATCTACTTCCATAGGGATACTGCCTGAGAAACCCAAAGAGGGGTCGCTGTGAGTCTCAATTGACTTGACGGCAGTGGGTTTTGTTTTTTTAGGGCTGCCATCAACAAATTTGATGGCTTAAAACAATATAAATTTATTCTGATAGTTCTGAAGGCTTGCATTTCAAAATCAGATCTCTTCAGGGCTGTACTCTTTCTAAAGGCTCTAAGGGAGAGAGAATCTGTGCCATGCCTTTCTCTTGATTTCTTATGTTGGCAGTGGTCCTTGACTTTCCTTGACTTGTAGATGTATCACTCCAGTCTCTGCCTCTGTTGTCATGATGTTCCCCTGTGTTTCTGTGTCTATCTGTTCTCATCTTAGAAAGACATCAGTCGTATTGGCTTAGCACTCACCCTAATGACCTCATCTTAACTTGATTATATCTGCAAAGACCTTATTTCCAAATAAGATCACATTGACAGGTACCAAATATTTGGATTTTAGTGTATTTTGCTTTTTCAGTTTCCATGAAAATAGTTGTATTTACCATATTATACTAAAAAAGATAAGATTTGTATTCTCCAGTGCCAAACTGATATAACTACAGGATTGTATTTTAAATAAGAAAAATAGAGTGGCCTAATTTTAATCATATCCTAAGGTTTCAGTGTAATACAGAATCATGTACCTTATTTATGACAGACATTTTTTACTTTGGGTTAAGTCTCTTTGTTTCAGAAAGTACTGCTTACCCTATGCTCATTTTTCCTCACCCCTGCAGAGCCAGCAAGATGCCCAACAAGGGGCTTCATGCTCATCCTGTTAAGATGGCTGGGTTGTGAAGGAGTTGCTTGCTGACTCATTTCAGCCATTTGGCTATAGTCATTAAATGAATTCAGAACGTGGAAAAGAATAGAAAAAATAATTTCATCTTATTTTCTTTCTTTACAGGCTCTGTACAACTCAATCAAGAATGAGAAGCTTGAATGGGCAGTGTAAGTGTGCTGGATGCCAGAAATTTAATAAATGAACCACTTGTTCTTTTGTTACAGTGTTTATACCTTGGAAGTGATCCTTGAGAAGGATTAAATATGAATAACCAGTTCTCATTTTACACCAAATTTCTTAACCTACTGTGTATATGAAACCTAAAGTATATCTTTATCCCTGAGAATCCTATCTTTTCATTGTTACTCACCATGCTTTTAATCTGGTTGTGAAAATTAACTTTTTCAAATGTATCCTTTAAAAACATGATAGCATCCTAAAAAATAGGCTGATAATTATAAAATCCAGTATTCGAAAATCCAATGCTAATGATTTTGGCACAATCCATCCTAATTTAGTTAATAAATTTATTTATTTAAATTTAATTTTCTCTTTCCCATCAGTATAGATCACTGCTTTATGGTCCTGTTTCCTGTAACACTAATACAAGGATATTGT